GAGAATGATGAGGGCAACAAATGTACAAATGTGCTTGACACAATGGATGTATGTATGGATTGTGATGAGTTGTACAAGCCCCCAATAAAATGATTTAAAACAAAAAAATGAATTACAGTCTCAGAAACCCTTAGGGGGCATTTCTACCCTGCTATTGGGCCACTATCAGTCGGCATTGACTGGATGGCAGTGAGTTTTGTTTGTTTTTTTGGTGAGTGTGGCAAGTTCAAGGGAAGGTGAAGCAGGAGGGAGGGGTCCATCTATTAGGGCCCCATCAAGGAAGTTAGGGTGATTTAAAGGGGCTGAGACTCATGAGAAAAGCCCTGGTGGTGTCATGGTTACACATTGGGCTGCTAACTGCAGGGTTGGCAGTTTGAAACCACCAGCTGCCCCGAGGGAGAAAGATGAGGCTTTCTACTTTCACATAGCATTAGTCTCAGAAACCTACAGGAGCAGCTCTACTCTGTCCTCTAGGGTCACTGCAAGCTGGAATCCACTTGATGGCAGTGAGTTTGGTTTGGGTTTTGGGGATCACCAGGGGGGCAAACTAGTCTAATCTTTTCCAGGTATTTTCCTACTGGCCAACACTAGGCTGTGGGGTGTTTCCTTCAGGGCATAGCAGAGGCATGGCCCAATGAATGACCAAAAGGAATAAGGATAATAACAATAGAGCCAAGGTCAGCAGTTCTTACAAGCGAGAAAAAGGAGGCTTTCTGTTCTGTTAAGAGTTACAGTCACCAGGGCATTTCTACTCCGTCCTAATAGGTCGCGATGAGTTGGAATTAACTCAATGGCAGTGGTTTTTGTTGTTTTTTGAGGTACTAGGCTAAGCCCTTTAGGAATTACTGTCCTGGTTCTAATAATAAAATAGGTAATATTGACCACGTACTATGGGTCAGGATTATGCTAAAGGTTTTACGTCTTTGTAATAAATACTGAATGATGAATTGTTTATGCCATCCTAGGACTCCAGTTCATAGTAAAATAACCGATATGTGCACATAGGGTCATTATGAGTTGGAACTGACGCGATGGTACTTAACAACAACCACGTGTTTGCAAAGCGCTTATTCTTTACCAGGTATTGTGTTAAGCATTTAACTAGTACTAACTCATTTACACCTCACTAAAATCCTTTGAGGTATGTACTATATAATTCCCATTTGACAGATGACAGAACTGAGGCATGGAGAGGTTAAATAACTTACCGGGAGTAAATCAGCTGGGAAGGAGCCAAGCCAGGATTCAGAACCTCGTATTTACTATATTGCTTCAGGCCAACCAACCATCTGAGGAAGGTTCTATATTAAACCTCCTCTTGACACGTGATAAAACAGAGGCTCAGAGAAGGTAAATGACAGCTCAGGATCTGAAGTCGGGTCTGACTCAGAATCCCATAATCTTTCTTTTATCCGTTTTCAATGGTGACAATAGTCACATTCACAATGTGGGGCAGCCTTCACCATCTGTTTCCAAAACATTTCTCCTTGCTGACGGAAACTGATTCTACTGAGCAATCAGTCTCTTAAGCACCATGGTGGCACTGTGATTAAAGTGCTGGGTTGCTCACCTAAAGGCTGGTGCTTTGGGGTTTTCTGAGCACTGTGTGCTCTGTCTGCTTCGCTTGCCTTCTCCCGCCTGTCCCCAGTGGGCACTCACCCAACTTGTGCTGGAAGCAGACCTTGGTCAGGAGGATGAGGATGAAGGGCAGTCCTTTCTGGAGCCAGCAGATGACGGCCTTCAGCTCGGACAGGGCAGGCGCAGGTGTCCCGGGCTGCTCCTCGCCCCCCTCCTCTGAGTGCCCGCGGTGGTCCCCACCCACATGCTGCAGCAGGGAGCTACCTCGGTGGCCGTGGTGGAAGTGGTGTGGGGGTTGGCGGTGGTGATAGGTGCCCCCCTCAGCCCGGCCCCCGCCCTCCTCCCTGGAGGCCGGCATCTGGATGAAGACGTCCCCGCCGCTGGCTGAGGACCCCAGCACCAGGCTGGATGGGAAGGGGTTTGCAGGGATGCTGCCTGTGGGCAGGCCGGTTAAGGTGGTTAAGCCGGAGAAGAGCGCTGGGGGAGACGCGGCCTCTGCCTTCAGGCTCTCAAAGACGCCGCCTTCATCCACACTGGCCTCAGAGCTGAGCACCTGGCTGCGGTTTCTGAGGGCAGAGAGAGAAGCCACCACGTCAGGACACAGGAAAAGGCACACGACTGCAAGAGAGGGCTGGAGACAGGCAACAATATCGACAGTGACAACAACACGTCAAACCTTTACCCCAAACATCTATGGCATCCCACATCTTTTTCTTAGTCTTCCCAAACCATTATCAAACCCACTGCCGAACTGATGCCAATTCATAGCAACTCTATAAAACCCCAGGTGGAAGAGTGGTTATGCTTTGGATTGCTAAGCACAAGGTCAGTCGTTCCAAACTACCAGCCGCTGCCCCATGGAAGATAACGGCTCTCGGGAACTCATAGGAGTAGTTCTACTCTGTGCCCTATGAGGCTTAGTGCTGTATCTAACAGCTGTGGGTTAGTAATAATAAAGCAAACCCCCCAGGCCACCAAGTCAACACTGATGCATGTTGGTCCACCCTCTTAAGTTTTCAGATCAGAAACTGCACTTCGTAGGTTTTCAATGGCTGTGACCTTTCGGAAGGAAATCACCAGGTCTTCGCTCTCAGGTGCCTCTGCGGGGAGTCAAATCTCCAGCCTTCTGGCCAATGGCCAGGTGCTTAACCGTGTGCACGACTGATGGATTCCCAACAATATATCACCCACATTTTTGGAGCCCTGGCAATGCTTTTGGGTGAGCACTGGGCTGCCAACCGAAAGGCTGGCAGTTCAAATCACCTGCCAGCCCTTCCTTGGGAGAAAGACGAGGCTGTCTGTTCCAGTCTAGATTTATGGCCTCCGAAATCCTCAGTAGATGGCCGTGGGGTTGGTTTGGGGAGGCCGATTTTACAGATCAAGAAACTGTAACTGCAACTGCAACTGCAGCACCAGAAAGCCTCCTTTCCCCTATCCATACAAAAGTCCTTGGCTCAAGCCCTATATATGTCCCACTGCCTCACTGCCAGGTGCGATTTCCCTGACCTAACTCGTTGGGTCTCGGAACCCACCCGGGTACTCAAGATGCCCCCGTCCTTCTCTGCTCTCCCTTCACTCCCGGGAGTGCTTTCCCTGCCTCAATAAAATCTTTCTCAACTTCACACTCCTGGCTAAATTCTATCTCTGTTCCATGCCTCCGTCTCCAACCTCTCACATGGTACTTTCCATATTGTTTACCAGCACCATGTAATTCAAATGCATTAAATCTTTCGTCTTCCTTATTCAATGTCCACCTTTCACATGCATAGGCGGCGATGGAAAATACCATGGCTGGTATGTTGCATTCACATCTTTCTTTTCCCCTCCTTTTTAGACGGCTGCCATATGTATCCCTGGATTGGGTCTGGCCCCTGCCATAGTACCTGGACCTCACCATACTGGCATGAAGAGAGGTCTGTGGGGCTGGCCCCAATCCCAACTTTGTGGGTACCCCACTCCCTCCCCCCAGAAGAATTCACTTCAGAGGACAACACTGAAGCCATTGAAGTCCCAGCTCAGGGAGAGGGAGGGGCACACCTGATCAGATCACACAGGAGCAAATGAAGAGGGAAGGAGAGAGAGTGGAACATCCCGGCCCACCAAGCCCCGAGGATGATACTCCTGCTGAGAGCAGCCAATGTAGAGAAGACCATAGGGCCGGTCCCACCACAAGACATGACGTCCCTCATGGACCCATAGTGCTACAAGGGACAATGCTGAAGTCACAGTGCAGGAATTGTGCCTGATCTGACCCCACTACTCCGGGGTGAAATGCTAAGGGCATCCAACAGAGCAGCAAGGGGAACAAAGACATGAAGTAAGTCCCCAGGGAATGCCAAAAATAGACTTTGGGGCCAGGGCGTGGCACCCCATCAGACTAGACTGGAAAACACTCCTAAAGGTCAACAAACAGACCTGGAACTCTTTATAGGCTTTTCTTTTATTTTGTCCTTGGGTTTTTGTTGTTGTTTGTTTTCTTTTGTTGTTTGGTTTTGCTCTGTCTTGTTTTTGTGCTTATTATTGTCTCTGCATGTCTATCTAGATAAGATAGGTGGGATAAACAATTTGGATGAGAAAACAAAGGGACCGATAGTTG